ATGAAAATTTGTGATGATGGAGAAACCTGACATTACCCAGAAATGTATTTCTCATATTCTCTCTGTAGTGTATAAAAGAAAAATGAAACTTGTGTTTTTGGTGGATTTATTGAGTTAACTTTAAAATGTGGCCAATTTGAACACAGAAGTTACATTTTCTCTGCCTGGGGGCCCTGCTAATATTACAGTAGATAGATACGGGCCTGAATCCTCAAAAACAAAGAGAATGGGAAGAAAAGGAAAGCAAATATGTTTTAATCTAGAAAGCAGATAGTTGAAAGACAGTTACCTGAAAGCTAAAACCTAAATTAACAGGAAGAAAACTGTCAGGAGAAAATTTGTGCCACAGAACTCCAGTAGAAGGCACAAGAATTAGAGCCACCAGGTTTCTCAGAAGATGAGGATGAAAGTGGGGCTGGAAAGAGGGCAGTTGGTTGGCAGTCTAAATAAGAAGCAGTTTATGGGGCGCCTGGGTGGTTCGGTCATTAAGCATCTGCCTTCAGTTCAGGTCTTGATCCCAGGGTCCTGGGATCAAGCCCTGCATCAGGCTCCCTGCTCAGTGGGAAGCCTGCTTCTCCCTCTCTCTCTCCCCCTGCTTGTGTTCCCTCTCTTGCTGTGTCTCTCTGTGTCAAGTTAAAAAAAAAAAGACTAAAGGGCACCTGGGTGGCTCAGTCATTAAGTGTCTGCCTTCGGCTCAGGTCATGATCCCAGGGTCTTGGGATTGAGCCCCACATCAGGCTCCCTGCTTGGCGGGAAGCCTGCTTCTCCCTCTCCCACCTCCCCCTGCTTGTGTTCCTGCTCTTGCTGTCTCTCTCTCTCTGTCAAATAAATAAATAAAATCTTTAAAATAAATAAATAAATAAGAAGAGGCAGTTTAGCTGCCCTGGATTTCATCTGCCATATATGCAGCCAAGGGCCTCCTCCCCGCAACTGTGGCAGAAGACAAGAGTTTGAACCAAAGTTACTCCAGGCATGGGGACACCATCTACAGGCACAAAAAGTCATACAAAAACAAAATGATTAAGGAAAAATCTATTCCTTAAATAATGAGCCACTCAGCCTCCTTCTTCTATGAATCTCTGCAAAAATGGGCAGCCCATCTTATATACTCCAGGCCTGGAAGATACAGGATTTCATTCTTATGAAACTAACTCTCCTGGGTGAACAGACATATAAATACTAATATTTGGGATTCCTCACTGGGAAAGCTAGGTCTCTGTTTAGTCACCCAAATTGAAGCCCTTCACACAGAGTTTGTATCCAGCTTTTGACTGGATCAAGATTTTGATACACTAATCTGTATGTATCAGTCTTGAGTATGAACAGAAAGCCCCACATGACCACATATTTAAGGAAAGCTTACAACCTAAAGTACAGAGAAAGAACTCAAAGGAGACAGAGACCATGTAGGAAACAAAATAAAATCTTAAAGTATAATTTCACAGAGATGAGAAATATTGTATCCATAAAACAAAAAACTATAAAAACAAAACATAGGGAGCCAAAAAGAGCTCCTGAAGCTAGGGCGCCTGGGTGGCTCAGTCAGTTAAGTGTCCAACTCTTGGTTTCAGCTCGGTGGTAGGAGTGAGCCCCACGTGGGGCTCTGTGCTCAGTGCAGAGTCTGCTTGAGATTCTCTCTCTCCCTCTCCCTCTGACACTCCCCCACACATGCTGCTCTTTCTCTTTCTCTCAAATAAATAAATAAATCTTTAAAAAAAAAAGAGCTCCTGAAAATTAGAAATAACAGAAGAAAAACTCAGTAGAAGGACTGGAAAATAAAGTTAAGGAAATCACCTAAGAAGTAGGACAAAAAACAAAGAGATGAAAGGCAGGAGAAAACAAAATATAAGAAAATTACAGGCTCAGTTCAGGACCAAAGTCCAACAGAGAAAATGAATGGGAGGAAATTAGCAAAGAAATAATGCAAGAAATTTCCCCATAAGTGATACGTGGTTTTCTGATTAAAAAGACCACTGAGTTTTTACACCCCCCCCCAAAAAAATGACCTATACCAAGACACAGGAAATCAGGGATAAGAAGTTCCTAAAAGTTCCCAGAAAGGAACAGGCCATATACAAAAATATTAAGAATTAGATTGGACCTCTTAACAGTGCTTGAAGTTGGAAACAGGGGAGCAGTCTTTCAAAACTCCAAAGGAAAAGTAGTTCCAACTAAGAATTCTCTATTCAGCCAAACTATCAGTCAAGTATAAGGATGAAAGAAAGATATTTACAGACACACGGGTCTCAAAATTTTTCTTTCCCATGCACCCTTTCTTTTTATTATTATTATTAAGTTAACCACCATACAGTACATCATTAGTTTTTGATGATTCATTAGTTGCGTATAACACCCAGTGCTGCACCCTTTCTTAGGAAGTTGTTGGAATATATATTCCTCAACAAAATGAGAGAATGAGAAGAAAAAGAAGACGTGGAATCCAAGAAATAAAGGGAATCTAAACCAGGAAGGGGTGGGAGGAATTCTTAAGATGAAGATGAAGGACAAGCTTAGAATGAGAGTCCTGTAGTGGGCTTATAGAGCAAGCAGGCCAGATTAGTGCAGGGGTGTGGTAGGTTTCAGGAAGAATGTCTCCACTGAGGAGGCTACAAAGGACCAACAATCCCTGATGTTGAACTTGAGAGGAAATTCCACTTTAACCAGAAAGGTTGACAATGAATTAATGACAGATAAATAGGAAATTCAGCATACAAAAAAAGTTACCTGACTAAAACCAAAAATTTGCATAAGAAAGTAAATACAATCCTCATATGCTAAAGAGTTTAACTATAAATAATATATGTCATAATGGGACTGACAAAACCATGCAGTCAGTAGTACTGTGGACCAAATGTTCTGCTTCTCTCCCTCTTTCCAAGTACATAGTAGGATGACATTTCTTGGCTCCCTGGTGGTTGGGTTGGACTATGTGATTACTTCTAGCCAATCAGGTGTGAGCAAAAATGGTGTCACTTTCAAGTAATGCATTTAATGTTGATGCAGGACCTTGCAGAGATCTTTTTTCTTCTCTGCCACTGTGACCTGTAGTGCTCTGTACTGTCTGATATACTAGCCACTATTAAAATTAAAATTATTTGAAATTAAAAAATCAGTCCCTGTGTCACATTAACCACATTTCCAGTGCTCAAAAGACACATGTGACTAGTGCAGATATAGAACAGTGTAGACTGAAACACTCTGATTATCTTAGAAAGTTCTTTTGGTCTTTGTTGCTATAAATGGTGGTTGCTTTGTCACCTGGGCTCCAAAGTGAGGACAACAGGGATGCAGAGCAGAGCCTCAGGCAGCCTGACACGGACATGTCATATGAATGAAAAATAAAGCTTTATTGTTTGAAGCCACTGACATTTTTGAGGAGTGTTTCATTGCAGCATAAGCTGCTCATTCTGACCTATATAGAAATCCTAGGTTTGAACTCCATTCGTCATATACCACCTTCTATATTGGGACAGGCTAGGTTACACTAGTCACAATCTGAAGAGGTTTGTGTGACTGTTTTATAACTGCTATAGAGTTTCAAAGGGAACTTTCACCAGTTAACTGGAGCACACACTGCAGAAAAATTCTACTCTAATTACTTGGGCTTCGGAATGGCTCAGTGGTCGGAGATAACTTATGGTCAACAGTCTTAAACAGGCCATTCTCAGAAAAGTGATTTTCATGGAATGTCTACATTAACAACAACAAAAGGAATGGAAGGAACATTTGCTTGTGTTTTTAAAGATCCTCTTTTTAAATCCAAGTGGTCATTTGTTCCTCTATCTTCTGATAGAACTGGTGCAGGTATAGAATGAGGATAAGCAAAGGCTGATTGTTACTAAGTAAGTGCATTTGTCAAGTGTAATAGTTTGCCAGGTGTTTTCCCCTTCGTCTTCTTATTTGAACTTTATAGTAGTCCCAGCAGGTAGGCAGATATAGAAACCAAATCTCCGAACTGTAAAATTATTAAAGTCATGTAATCCGCTAGAAGAAAAACTGGATCTTGAATATAGTACCATCTGATTCCAAGTCCATACCTTCTTTCTTCCCACCCTTAGCCTATTGTCTCCGCCCCCTTCTTGGTAGTAAGGCCTTCAGGAGGCAGCCCCTCCTCTTCCTGGGAAGAGTAACTTTTAAGTAGCCAGCATTGCAGAACAAGGGCACAGAACTCCCAGCATGGTAATTATGTATTTAGCCCTTGTACTTCTGAAGTCATCCTTCTCAATGAGAGCTGATGTTCATACACAGTAGTATTTACTCCCGGCAATAATAGAATCATAGTAAGAGTAGCAGTGTAGTAGCAGATAACACGTCTGTAGGGCTTACCTATGTGCCAGACATCGTTCTAAGAATTTACACAGGTTGATTTACTGCCGCAATTACAAACCCAGGTTCTAACTCCTAGTCCCAACTTTTAACCATGTTACTTCCTGTAAACTATACACAAAGATAGCCAAATATGATCCTATATATTAGGGAAAAACTGTTTTGCCTTTTTGTGATAAATACAAATTTCATTTTAATAGAGAAATTTAGATTAGATATTTTTAGAATTCACTTTAACAAGAAAACAGTGCTGCTCTCAGTTTACCAATTGGTTCATTTTCTGTGCTCATACAAATTTTTAATATAATTTATTCAATTCAATAAATAATAGTTATTGAGTACTTACTAGATGCCTGGGCATGAGCTAAGCATTTTATGTGGATTAGCTCACTTAATCCTCACAGGAACCCTAAGATATAGGCACTGTCATTGTCCCTGTTTTATAAATGAGAAAATGAACCTTGGAAGTAGTAACCTGCCCAAGGTCGCTCAACTAGCAAGGACAAAGCTGAGACTTGAACTCAGCAACCGAACTTCAGAACCAACACCCAAACATTTAGCTAGCCACCTCTACAATTTCAAAATTACTTATGATTCCAGAAAGTTTCCAAATTATCTCTGTCCATTTCTGGTGGTTTTACTGAAATACAATTACTGTATTTTTTTCTATCTAGGTTTATGTTCCTGATGAAAATAATGCTATTTTGGGAAGAAATACAAATAAGCAAGTTTTTGAAGGTTTGACAACTGGACTTCTCAAAGTCAGTGCTGTGGTTTTTAGCTGCCTGATTGCCAATCGACCAGATGGAAACAGCCGGCCAGCTACACCAAAAATATCGACACAGGAAGTGAAAAACAAACCCTCACAAGGTGATGCTTTTAACAGTCGAGTTCAGGACCTCATCAGGTAAAATTGCTAGATTTCTTCAAACTTTCTTCTTCTTTAAAAAAATATATTAAAATTATTTAAATGTCAGGACCCATGTGATGGCATTGGTTCTCACAACACCATCCATAAATTCTTGGTGGAAAATATACTACATTTCGTACAACAGAGAAGAAAAGTCCTACTAATGAAAAGCAATACAGTTAAGAGCTCATCTGTCATTCTTGATATTTAGATATTTGATGTTAGAATATGTAGTGTCCAAGCTTTTATAACTTTCTTTCTGTCAACTATTTCCCAACTCAAGAATTTCTGAGAATTCCCCTATTTCAGGTCATCTCTGGTTTTAATTTTGGTTCAGACTTAAAACAGTAATAGCTACCATTTACAGAGCACTCATTATGTATATGGTATTGTAATAGAGGCTTTGCAGCCCTATAGGTATAGGATTTCTAATTCAGACTTTGTAGGTGGGGAAATTGCTCAGAGAGGTTAAATGCTTTGCCTAAGTTTATGTAATAAATAAATTTAAAAGTAGGTTGGAGATTTGAGATCAAAACTCAGGTCTAGCTGGACTCCCAAAACCTGTGTGCTTTCCACTACACAAATGTAGTGATTTCTGACACCTGTTCAAGGTCAACCCTGTTCACTTCTAAAGGTCACCTTTTCTCCAGGGAAATTTACTCCTCTTCTGACATCTGAACTCTTTTTCCCTCATGAATCTTGAATCAGGTAGGACATTTAATTTCCCAATAGGATTCCATTTAGTGTTAATCAGTTACTTGCCCCACCTATCAGTAACTTTTCTGTGATCAGCACTGATCTTTGGTTTCCAAAATCCATGCAGTTTGTTGCTCTGAAGCTTATGGTAGGTTAATAGGAGAAAAGAGAATGTCCTCTTCTGCATTTGCCTCAAAAGAGTTCATAAATTTCCTCTGGTTTTTTGTAGTGCTTTCTTGAGAACAGTTGTTTCATTTGATATCTTTCTTACCCCTGATTACTTTGTTCACTTTTCCCTTCCATCTGCCTGCCCTCTTTCCCCAAGCATATTTATTGCTAGAGAGTATTAGGCCCCTTGGGTTCACAACCATTTATCTTAAAGCACTTGACTTTTACCCTCCCTGACCTTTCTCTCAGTTGCTTGATCCCATTCAATTTCCCCATCTCCTTAGGTCACTGTAGAACCTAGCCCTCTCAGCTTGCTGATACATGCCGTTCTGTTCGAGCATTCTCCCTTGGGCTACCGTGTGATGCAGCAACCTTGCATTCTTGTCCATGCCTTGGCTGTGATGAGGTGGAAGGACCAGCCAAAGGCTTCAGTGTAATTCTAATGGGCTTTCCAGGAGAAAGTACATACATTTTCACATATATTATTATAGTTACCAGATCCTTCATAAAGGAGGAAGGTATTGGGGAAAAAAATAACTGGTAATCTGCCAAACCAAATCTCATGTAACTTAAAAAGGATGATGGACAATCACAGTCCTTTAGAACAAAACTCTGCCGTTCTTTCTCTGACTTGAACCACTTTTGGTGAAGGTTGTTTTCTTATATATAATGCATTGTTAGTTGGCTTCATGATGGCTATGTATAGAACCACAAACTGTAGTTTAGATTTGCCTAATGAAGCAAACAGAACATGTCTAATTATTTCCATGCTTGCTCTCTCACCTTCTCAGATATACTGACAAGAGATCTCACTCCACTCCCCACCATAACCTGGGAATTTTTTGTCAGTTTCTATCTGTGGAGTTGTAAAGCTGGACAGAGAGAGTTCCAACACAGTCTTTGGTGCTGCTCTCTGGCCTGCGGTCCAGAAGTAGAGCTGGAGCAGAGCACACTGACATGTATCTCCTCCTCCTCACCTGGCATAAAAGAGTCAAGAGGATTTCTAACAAAGATGGTAATACCAGTACTTACTATTTTACATGGTTCAGTCAAGTGTCTAGATCTAAGGGATTCTCAGAAGTATTTATCAGTTCCTGCAAAGTTCACCTGTAGCAGTTTGTGCCAGATACCATACAAGGTCCTGGGATACAAAAACAAATAAAAAGACCTTTAACAGAATATCCAAATATTATCATTTGGCTGTCAAAAGTCAGAACTTTTATAAAGTGAAAATATTGGCAGTTACAGTGTTTAGCACAGTTCTATGAAAGCAGTATTGTTTGTAGGATAGAAGCAGATTGCAATTTGAAAAAATACTTACTTGAAATTTGCTCAGGAAATCGACCAACCCTGAAGCTCCACAGTTCTATTTTTTCTAGCTTTCTTGAGATATGGTTGACATATAACAATGTATAAGTTTAAGGTGTACAATGTGATGATTTGATACAGATATACCGCATGTAATTACCACAGTAAGGTTAGTTAACACCTCCATCACCTCACGTGATTACCTTCTGTGTGTGTGGTGAGACATTTAAAAGCTACTCTCTTAGCAGCTTTCAAGTACATGACATAGTATTGTTAACTATAGTCACCATGCTGTAAATTGCATCCCCAAAACGTATTCATCTTACAAATGGAAGTTTCTACCCTTGTACCCTTGACTAACATCTCATTTCCCCTAGCCCCCAGGCCTTCTATTCTTTATTTCTAGAAGTTCAGCTTTTTTAGATTCTACATGTAAGGACATCATACAGTATATGTCTTTTACCATCTAACTTATTTTACTTAGCATAATGTCTTCAGGGTCCATCACTGTTGTTGCAAATGGCAGGATTTCCTTCCTTTTTTGGATAATATTCCATTATACACACACAAAGACACACACACACACGCCACATTTTCTTTATCCATTCATCCATTGATAGACACTTAGAATTGTTTCCATGTGTTGGCTATTCTCAATAATGCTGCAGTGAACATGAGAGTGCAGATATTTCTTTGAGATGGTGATTCATTTCCCTCAGATATATACATAGAAGTGGAATTGATGGATCATATAGTAGTTCTATTCTCTGTACTATTTTCCACAGTGGCCATACAAATGTACATTTCCACTAAAAGTGTACAAGGGTCCACTTTTCTTGACATCCTTGCCAAAATTATCTCTCGTCTTTTTGATAATAACCACTCCTAGAAGTACAACGTGGTAGCTCATTATGGTTTTGATTTACATTTCCCTGATGATCAGTGATATTGAGCATCTTTTCCTGTACCTGTTGGCCATCTGTATGTTCTTTGGAAAAATGTCTATTCAGATCCTTTGCCCACTTTTTAATCAGGTTATTTGTGTTTTTACTATTGAGTTATAGGAGTTCCTTATGTATGTTGGATATTAACCCCTTATCTGACATATAGTTTGCAAATATTTTCTCCCATTCAATAGGTTGCCTTTTCATTTTGTTGATTGTTTCTTTTGCTGTGCAGAAACTTTGAAGTTTGATGTAGTCCCACTTCTTTATTTTTCCTTCTGTTGCTTATGCTTTTGGTATCATATGCAAAAAAGAATTGCCAAGTCCACTGAAAGGAGTTTTTCCCCTGTGTTTCCTTCTAGGAATTAAATGGTTTCAGGTCTTACATTTGTCTTTAATCCATCTCAAGTTCATTTTTGTGAGTGTTGTAAGATAGGGATCCCATTTCATTCTTCTGCCAGTGGTTATCCAGTTTTCCCAGCACCATTTATTGAAGAGACTATCCTTTCCCCATTGAGTATTCTTGGCTCTCTTGTCAAATATTTGTGGACTGTAGATGCAGGGGTTTATTTCTGGGTTCTCAATTCTGTTCCATTGGTCTATGTGTCTGTCTTTATGCTGGTACCATACTGTTTTGGTTATTAGAGCTTTGTGTTATAGTTTGAAATCAGGAGGTGATGCCTCCATCTTTGTTCTTCTTCTACAGGGTTGCTTTGGCTCTTTGAAGTCTTTTGCTGAAGCACAATTCTTTTCATCATATCCAATTAGAAATTTATATTTATCTCTCAAAACAGAAAATTCAAACTGTACAACCAAAAGTCAAATAAATAAGTTCAAGTCACTGATACCAGTCTTTGGAATCAAATGTTATCAAATGTAAGGCATCTATTCAAGAAGTTATAAAACTGTACTTTAGCATTTTGCTAGCCAACAAACCCTAGCCACATATGAGGAGGTACCATAGGCATGTCAGGCTGCACAAGTTTAAAGCTGAACACATAATCTTTCCACCCAGAGGAACCCCTTTTCCTGTGTCCTCTGTCCTTATCAGTGGCACCAGTATCCCAGTCAATTACTTAAGCCAGCAATCTGAGCATTGGCAGACTCCTCTCAGAGACTCCTTTACCAAACCAATATTCAAGTCAGTCTTTACTACTTATTGATTCTGCCTTGTCACTCTCTCAGATTTATCACCTTCACTCTGCTGTGTCTTTAAGTGTCCAGGTTCTCTTGCAATAACAGATGGCTTGGCTGTTTCTCTCTCGTTTCTCCTTTTCAAAATAACTTATTTTTACTAATTATAAAAGTAATGTGGGGCGCCTGGGTGGCTCAGATGGTTAAGCGTCTGCCTTCGGCTCAGGTCATGATCCCAGGGTCCTGGGATCGAGTCCCGCATCGGGCTCTCTGCTCCTTGGGAGCCTGCTTCTCCCTCTGCCTCTCTCTCTCTCTCTTTCTCTGTCTCTCATGAATAAATAAATAAAATCTTTAAAAAAAAGTAATGTGTGCTCAATGAGAAAAACAATTTGGAAAACAGAGAAGAGAACAATGGGTATTTTTGTAAACACACAAAAATTACCTTGAATCCTTCCACCCAAAGATAATCACTGGGTTGCTTTTGGTGTACAACATGTGGTTATTTTATTTAAAAAAAAATACTGTCATACTTGTACATATTATTTATCATGTTTTTATTTATTTTTCTAAATCAATAGGAACTTGCAAATTACTTTTTACTGGCTTTCCAAGTATTTCATTATGTAGCAATGATTTGCTTCTAGTAACCTTTTATTACTCATGTAGGTTTATTCTAGTTTTTTACTACAGATACCACTATGAAGAACATCTTTGCACACGCATCTTTCCCTGCAACTGATTGTTTTC